ACCCATGGTAACAGTTTACTAAGTGTAGTACAGAATTCTCCACTTAGATGTTTCATTGTTACTTTAAACTTATTATGTCTCAAATTGAATTCATCATCTTCCTCTTCACAATAGCCTTAACCCTTCCCAACTTTTCCATCCCATTAATAGCATCTCTAATACATCCATTTTACCCTCTCCAATCTCTTCCTGACACTGCAATCAGAAAGATTATTCTAAGGAGCCAATCTGATCATGTCATTTCCTTGCTCAAAATCTTTATTCAGCATCTTCACATTGCCTCCAGAATAAAGCCTAAAGGGCCCTTTGTGATCTAACCCTTGCTTCCCTCCACCGACATATGGCCTCATTCCTTGCAATGCTATGCTACAGCTACTCACAATTATTTTTTAAGTTTCCAGAATGTAATACCTCTGCATCTTTTCACATACTGTTTCTGCCACCTGGAAGACCTTTCCCAATCTAATGCCTTTACCTAAGTCCTACTGCTCCATCATATTTCAGCTTAGATGCTACCTTCTGTGAAGGGATTTTCCTGACTGTTCTCCTCCCACCTGCTCAAATTAGGTGTGTATTCTGTGCTTCCAGAGCATTTTGTGCTTATCCCTATCTTAGCACCGAATCCTTGTATTCTAATAATTGTCAGTCTACCTATCTTTATTATATCCCCCAGTAGTCTTTAAGCTCCCTGGGGGCAGGAACCACATCTTAGGCACTGTTGTAGTCCCTGAAGTAAGGGCTTTTCATGCTTTATCTTGTTTAATCATCACAACAGTCATTTGTGGTGGGTACTACATCATTCCTATTTTACAAAATAAGTAAACTGAAGCAAAGAGTTTAAGAAACTTGTCCCAAGTTATCAAAACCAGGAAACCTGATACTAGAACCAGTCCCGTCACTAAATCTATTACCTTTAAATCCCTCCTCCACACAATTTGGCAGTGACCTGTCTAAAACACAGAACTGACAAGATTTCTTCTTTGTAATCCCCTCACTGGCTCCTATGCCTGCCTGCAAGCCATATTCTTGTCTACCTTCCTGGCCTGGTCTCCAGTGACTCCCCAGGACTCACTTGATCCTGCTACTGCAGAATCACCACAGATTCCCCAGTTTCATCCTTCTCTAAGTGTTGGTCCCTGTACAAAAATGCCCTTTCTCACCTTACCTTTCTGGAGAAATCCTGTTCCTCCTTCAGAATTTGCTCCATGAAACCTTTCCTGATCACTTTTTCCTTAAAAAGATTAATTAATTAATTTATTTATTTTGGTTGCGTCGGGTCTTCGTTGTGGTGCGACGGCTTCTCTCTAGTGGCGTGCGAGCTCAGTGGTTGTGGCACACAGGCTTAGTTGCTCCGTGGCATATGGGATCTTAGTTCCCTGACCAGGGATCGAACCCATGTCCCCTGCATTGTTAGGCGGATTCTTTACCACTGGACCACCAGGGAAGTCCCCAGATCACTCTTTTTTTGGTTTGTTTTTATGGCTGCACTATGCAGCTTGTGAGATCTTAATTCCCTGACCAGGGATTGAACCGGCCCGGCAGTGGAAGTGCTTCCTGGTCACTCTTTTCCCCATCCCATTGCAGGCAGTGGAATCCCGCCTCCACTTTCGGAAGCTATGTGACTTGGCCAAGTTACTGATTTAGTTTTCTCATTTGTATAATGGCAAGACTAAGACTACCTACTTTGTAGAACTGTTGTGAAGACTAAATGAGATGATGTCAACTGAGTACTTAGCAATGGGCTAGGTGCAATTACTATTAAATACTTGTTCCTATTCCTCTATGTAGCTGGGCTTCTACTGCTGCAAGTTTAACACTGCATATGATTTCCTCATGTGTAGTTTCCCCACCACAGTGGAATCCCCTTGAACGAAGCACCCACATATCACTTATATTTTAGCACAATGCCTGGCATATTACAGGCACTTATTAACTGATAAATTGAACCAATTTAATACTACCCATCTTTCAAGGCCCAGTTCAATCTCCATTTCTTTCACTAATATTTACCTAATGATTCCAGCCCTCTGAATTTCCCCTTCTCAGAATTCTTTTACCACTGACATGTATTATATGTAGAAGTGTTGTCTCAATGAGGCTTCAAGTTCTTTCAGGGCAGACACCATTTCTTATACTGTTTATCTGCCCAACAACTGCTAATATTTCCAATCGCAAAGTTAGAGTTCAACAATTATTGGGGTTGGCCAAAAAGTTCGTTTGGGTTTTTCCGGAAGAGGGTACAGGAAAACCCGAACGAACTTTTTGGCCAATCCAATACTTGTGAATTAAAATATTGCTGCCCAAGCATGGGCAGCCTCATCTTATCTTTATGAGTAAGTCACCTATCTCTAAGAAAATTCAGCTAACAACTCAGCTCCTGACCCTCCTTCTCTTAGCTTGTGGGAATTCTGCTTAGAACTACATTAATTTGGAGACTTCCCTGGAGGTCCAGTGGTTAAGCCTCTGTGCTTCCGCTGCAGGGGGCATGGGTTCAATCCTTGGTCAGGGAACTAAGATGCCGCATGCCAGGCGGGATCTTATTTATTTGGTTGCACCGGGTCTTAGTTGCCGGAGGCAGGCTCCTTAGTTGTGGCTCGCCGGCTCCTTAGTTGCGGCATGCAAACTCTTATTGTGGCATGCAAACTCTTATTGCGACATGCGAGTTGCGGCATGCATGTGGGATCTAGTTTCCTGACCAGGGATCGAACCTGGGCCCCCTGCCTTGGGAGCACGGAGTCTCATCCACTGCGCCACCAGGGAAACTCCCGCCACTTGGGATCTTATATTAATTTGCTTTTATTTGTATGCCACTGTCGTGTCTTAGCTTCCAAGGGAAGAGATCTTCCCTTTCCTTGTTAACCTCCCTCAAGGCCCAGTAGAGGGCACTATACACACAAGGGCTGCTAGTGTGGGTGCCACTGGCTGACTGTAGATATCGTCAATGGCAGTTCTCCGGGCTATTTTTCTTTTGCCTGTTTTTTCCATGCTAGGGCCACAACAGCTTAAAATAAATGCTGCTGGACAATAAAAATGGTGACTTCATCCTTGCCACCCTGCATATCAGATGGCTCAACTGAGAGGCTTGTCAGCACAATTATCACTCAACCATGTTGGAGGAGTAGAAGAACCCTTGAATCCACTCTTTGGAATAAAGATTTTAGAAAACACCAAGCTAAAATAATGGGCAGGAACAGCTATTTGAAGCACTTCAGAATCAGTCTTCCCTGACTGCCTAGCCCTACAGTATGGGAGTGAAGGAAAAGGAATGGCACATTTTAAACTGAAACAGAAATAGGAACAAACATTTCTTGGCACCCCAGGATCCCTAATGCTATACTTAAACCTAAGGGCCGGGGAAGCCAAGAATAATGGAAAAATCATATAAAAGCCTAGATATTAACTCAAGCTCTTCAGTAAACTAGCACTGCCACCTTGTAACTTATTTCTATATGTCAACTTCCGTTACCTGTATATTAAATGAAACTGCACTAACTAGATGATTCCACATCTTGAGACTTGCTGGCCTCATTCCCCAGCTGTAGCCACCTGGCAAACATAAAACTAGGGACTGGTTTTATGCTCAAAAAGAAGTCATGGGACTGGTTTAAGGGGAATAAGGATGAGAAGGCTCAGAAACCCCACCACAATAAACATTCATTTATCTCCTAGCTTTAAGATATAAAGTTTAGGGAAGTCCCTGGCAGTCCAGTGGTTAAGACTCCGTGTTTCCAATGCAGGGGGCGTGGGTTTCATCCCTGGTTGGGGAACTAAGATCCCATGTGCCACGTGACCAAAAGAAAAAAAAAAAAGAAATGAAGTACTAAAAACAACCCCAAAATGTGGAGACCAGAGAAAAATGGCTCTAATCGCTAAGTAAAAATTTTAAATGTTCTCTGTATAAAAAAACAGATATAAAGTTTATACCTTTTGAAGTATATGAACTTTTTCATGTATTTTCTTCCAGTTAGACAATAAACCCCACAAAGGTAGGGAATGCCTTTAATATATTTCTCCAAACTACCAGGCTCACTTAGTGTCTAGCATGCTGTTCAGAAAGGCTGATGGTTAGGAGGCATCACAATCCGCTGGCTAAATCAGGAGAGAGCAAGTCAGTATAACATCCTGAGTAGCTGAAAACTTATTTGGAAAGTTTCTGATTAAGAATGAGTTAGATACTGAGAACAACATTCCTTCTCTAGTTTAGAAGTACTCCTTCCCCTCAATATGATAGAGATTTCTCTGGAATATCTATGTCTCCTGGACCCTGTTTATCTTCCTTGATGCACACTCATTTGAGAAGCCAATCACATTTGGGAAAATACCATGATAAATTCTCCTGATCAAACTTGGGCAAATGGGCAAGTTTCAATCTTCACACATGGTAGATTGGTGTGAGAGGAGACAAGTGAGTTTGTTTCTCCTTGGGTAACATTTCTTTTGTATATTACAAGTAGTTTTAAACTTTTTTCAGTGGCAGGATTCCAGTGATGGTTAGGACATCATGAGGAAAGAAGTGACTCTGCCCCCTGCTGGCCACTAGCAGAAAGGCTTGAGTTCCTTTTGGCTTATTACTAGAGGTCACATTTCTCCTTCACAGACATGAGAACTTGTGAAGGAATGGAAGACTGAAAGGGAAAAGGAAGAGCAGGATTCCTTCTTTGCTTAGCCTGTACTGAGCTTTAGGTGTCAATAAACCATTTAGATCAAATACCGCAAACCCCTTATTTTGTGAGTCAAAACCTGAGGTGGCTGCATCTTCTGCATTAGCTACAGAAACAGTAGCTTGGACAGGAGTCAGGAAAAGTCCTGGTCTATATGCCAACGTCCCTGCTCCCTCTCCGTAAATTAGGGAACGGGGAACCCAGACACATCCCACATGAAGGGCCCCTGTTCCTTAGAAACTCAGGGCCCCACACTGGCTTCTCCCCTTGAATGGTGTCTTCAGTATTGTTTTCTTCCCTTTCCCCAAACCCCAATAAAACACACCAACTGCTTCAGAGTATTTCTGGGTTGGGTTTTTTTTGTGGGTCTTCTTTTGTTTTTTATTTCAAACTGAAAAAGTCCTCTGGGCTCTGTGGGGCTCCCCACGCTCATGGCCCCCTTCTCCCATGCTCACTGCCCTTCTTCCCGCAGCAAATCTATTTCAAGGACAGCACTTTTTTTTAATGAATAATTGAGTTCTCAGCTTGCTCTGCAGAACCAGAGGAGCTGTCTGCATCTTTCATAATTAGATGGTCAGTTTCTTTTATCTGACACCAGGTCCCCAGCCACATCCAAGCAAACAAGGCATTCTTCTACAGAGCTGAATTAGAGCCTCTCATCTTTTGTCCATTTTACTTCCTCCTCCTCACACCCACCCCACACCAGCCACATGGTTAAGGAGGATAGTCAAGAATGTTTTTATCAACTCCAAGCCCTAATTCATATTCCCCCAAATCTCCCACTCCACCCTCCCAACCCCCCACCCCACCCCCAGGATTTCACTGAGATGTCTCCCAACAATTATTTGGAGAAAAAGGAAAAACAAAAAAGGTTCAAGGTCTTGGTGCTCAGCCCAAGGGGCTCCATGCGCTGGGACACCGACGGGCAGGGGCTTCTGCCTCTCCAGCCCGCGCCCGAGCCACCTCCTGACCCCTGGCTGCAAAAGCAGGGAGGGGCAGGAGCCAGCACAGGACCCAGGGGGGCAGCGTCTCAGGATCTGGCGGAGCCCCGGGCAGCATCATTCAACTTGGCCACTGCGGACGAACACAGAAGAAAAAGAAAACACTGTCAAGCAATAAGGGAAAGAACCCTAAGTTCCACCCCAGTCTCTACCCCATCACTCTTCCACACTTAACAATCATTAGGGCTACCTGGCACATGTCTCAATCCTATCCAGAGAGTTGTTTAAAAAAAAAAAAAGAGAATTTCAGTCTTTTCCTGTCTTCAATACAAAATGTTCTCTGTCTTTTTGGAGATACCCACGAAAACAAAAACAAAAACAAATTCTTTAGACAAGATCAAGATAACTGGAGGTTTTCAGGGGTGTAAGCTGCCTGGCTCAGAGCAGGCTTGGTTTCAGAGGCATGGCCAGAGCCACTTGCAGCAGCGGAGACAGACTGGGGGCACAGTGATCAGGTGGTAACTGCACGGAGGTCAGGGCCAGACAGCACACATGTTGTTCTGAGTGGACTCAATAATCTAGGTTTAATCAAAGCAATTTGGATTTGGATTTTGAAATGACCCTTCTTTATCATGGAAGCTATGTACTTCACGCTGTGGAAACAGGTGGCATATACAGAACGCAGCTTGCTTCTTTGTTTTCTTAGCCTTGAAGATGACCAGGTGGAGAGAGAGACCAACAGTTTTTCTGATTTCCCTATTTCTTCTATTCCTTCCTAAAAACCAGACTCACTGTGGCCTCAGTCTTGAGGAGTCATACTGACCGACAGAGAAAGCAGCTCAGACAGAAAAGAAAAGAATACAAAATTTGAGAAGATCGGAGGTGAAGAAAACGTACAAAATTATATATATATTTATATATATAATAACATGACATATCTATGTACAACATGTCTGGGACAGTTGAGGAAACTATACAAGGATGTTCAGCATTTTCCCCTTCCCACATGGACTTTAGACTAAGGAAGACAGCATGAGGAAATGGAGCAAGAAACACAAAAATTATATACAATTACAAGTGACAACCAAGGAGTTTGGGGGCCAGGGAATCACAGGATCCTGCTCTCTCCATTCCCTCCTCACCAACTTTTTCCTATCCAATCTGAATGATGGCCTGAAAAGTGAATGGCTGGTCAGGAAAGCAGTAGAGACACGCCCTAACCCCCCCACAAGTGCATTAGCAAGTTCATCAGTCGTCCTCATCAGGCCAGATGTGTGGTACATCAGAACTGGTGAGCTGAGAGGGCAAGAGAGGATTATAGAATCTTCCCCTCCTGAACGGCTAGTTCACACCCTGCTCTCTCTGTGATAACTAGCAGGCTGCATTCAGTAACATTCAGGCCAAGCCAGTGATAACTAGATTGATGATGCTGGCCACCTGCAGCCCCTTTCCTCCACCTGGTTCACGATCGCATTGCTACTTCTCAGAGCACAGGAGCTGGGTTACTGGGCTCTAGGAAGACAGAGGATTTCTCAGTCTCCTTCTCCTTCTCCCTAACCACCTTCCCCAGCTTCCTCCAAGGTGATTCATCTCCTGAGAACCTGCTGCTCCAGCCCTGCAGTAGCACTAAGCCCTGGAGGCTCCCTCAGTTCATCCCTTTTCTTCTTGTCTCCCTAACAATACACCTGGCAGCTGATAACATCTGAAATATGGGACTCCAAATGTGCATGACTGAGCATGTTTCTTCAGGCCCACAGCTTGGCTGCCAGAGCAGCTTTTAGCAGCAAGGGCCCAGATTGTAGGAAAGCAGGTGAGGGCAGAGGCAAGAGCTTTCCTGGCTAGCTTCTTAGAATTTTTTTTCTTGACCCTCAAGACCATGATACTTATGAGGCCCTCTTGCCTGAATTTATAACCCCCAAACCTCAACTTCTCTCCCCATGTAGTCTTCAAATAGTTCCCCTCTGTAGGCTCACCTATGGGCCTTCCTCACTTTTGGCTTTACAATGAACAGCACAGTTTTTTTCAGGATTTTAGAATCAGAATCAATCTTATCTATATTCAACTGTTTTACAGAGGTGGAAATAGAAATCCAGAGAGGTTAAATGACTTGACCAAGGTTACATGTCAATTCTGCCTAGACTGAGTGGAACTAGAACCCAGATACCTTGACTCTTAACCCAGTGTTCTTTCCACTATCCCATGATACTTTCAAAAAGCAACATGCTGGAAGAGAGAGAGAAGGTGCCCATTTTATGTGAATTATATCCTCCAATCTTTACATTATTTAAGAACCAGGGCAAACTGTAAAAGACACTGACTGAGTAAAGGAGGTTAAGTGGGCATTATAGTTTTAGGCAAGCAAATCAGTTTTTCTTTTTGAGGCTTCTCTAAACCTGCCATAATGGAAACATGAAGCAGTAGCAGCCCAAGGGACAAAACACATAAAGCACAGAAAACAGATCCCATTCAATCTATCTTTCCCAACCATGTCAGGTTAGCCTTGGGATGTTAAACCTGTCATATTATTCCCAAGGCCTAGCCTAACCAGTTTTGGGATATTCTCTTCCAAAAGTAGAAGTCACATCTCCCCAGTTTTTTGTACAAAAGAAAAAGAGTTTGCAGCATTATCCAATCCTAGTCTCCTATTTCTGAGCCCCTACCTGGGCTACATGAGGGTGTGGAAATCTCAATTTATCCAAAGAAATGAACTCAGAGCCTCTCTTCAGCCCACATTACCTTCTCAGCAGCCCCCAGGAGAATCACAGTCATTTCTGGCTAGCAAGCTGAGAAGATATAACTAGGTGCCCATTCCATCCCTGCCTATGATATACAAAAGTCCAGTGGGTGAGGAAGGGGAGCAGAAGGGGGCCCCGGTTACCCCGCAAGCTTGCTGGTGACGAGTGAGGACTTTCTCTGGGGCAGATCCTGTGGGGTGGGGATGTGGTCACCAGTCACCAGGTTCTTGTCTGGTCCTGCACTTGGCAGCTGCTTATTCTTCATCTTGGCTTTGGCCATGTTGTAGTCTCCTGAGTCAAAGTACTTTTGCTAAGAGATAAGAGGGAGGTTTAGGTGAGTGAGGAGCTCTGGTCTTCCTCAAAAACAAGGAGACTCACATCCACTATAAACCTTCATCCACGCTCAGATCTTTCAAGTCTCTTCTGGATTAGTCTCATGCATACAGAGCTTAGCATTAATTACATTTACTTACGTCTCCTCCCCAGTGTGTTCTGACTTTTTCAGGTATGGAAGCAGTTTCCCAGCTAGGGTGTTATTTTTGGAGTTAAGAGAGAGCTCCTACATCCTCTGTACCCACATCTTTTGTAGCCCCATGAGTACAGGATGGTTCAATCAAATTATTGACTTTATTCACTAAGGCTTATAAGGACCTATTAGCCTCCAATGGGCTTGGTGCTGGGGAAACAGAAATGAATAAGATACATAGAAGGGTTGATCTGGGGCTATCAGCAGGAGATCAACCTCAAGCTAACAACCTCAAAATTAAAAATTATTCTCTCAGACTATGAATAGAAACTGGGCTTGTTCATGAGAATGTACTTTCCTCTGACTGCAAGCACTCCCACACATGTTCCATGGCTCTGACAGCCTGCCCACGCCTGCCTTGCTTACAGCAAGGTAAACTGCAAATCAGCAACACATCATCATCTGTGACTAAGACTCAGTAACCGGGATTCTCCACAGGAATCTGCTTCCCTCTCCATTTCATCCACATAGAGAAACACACTCCAGGTTAATGACATACAATCCCTCAGTCAGCTTTCAGTACCTCTGAGGACTGAGAAACCTGATCAGGAGCTAGATGGCTATGAAGGTAAGACTCTGCCTTGGGAGAAGGACCATTCTGGACAGGAAAAATAAGTCTCTTCAGGGAGCATAGTTAGTAGTTGGTGCTAACTTCAAGGGTCTAAAGACATCTACTATTCATTTCAAGTTGAGGATATCTGTAGGACAGATGGGCTGATCTTTTTCTGAAATGACACACCCCAAAATTTAGCTCTAATCCTAAATGTGCAATCCTAAAACTCCCACCATCCAAACAGGCAAATGTCTGGAGGCTGTCAGCATTCCAGACTCTAACATCCTTCCCTCACTCCCCCAACCCCATACCCAAATGCCCCTACATTAAGCCTTAATATCCCACGTGGGAAATCAGAAGATAACTGATACCATTTCAGGGATTTACAATATTTGCCTTGCTTTTTACAAGTTTCTAATTTTTCTCTACTACTGCCCCACAACAAAACCTTCATATCAGTGTTCAGGAGAACTTCCACAGATCTCATCCCTAAGGCCCCCTTTGGCTCCGAAGTAAGAGGGTAAGAGATTGTGCCCCGTACCCCTTTCTGGAGTCTCTTCATGAGGAAGTCGGAGCCTCCAGGCTTTTGTCCTAGGCTTGGATATTTGGCCTTTAGCTTTGCCTCCTCGGCTCTCTCAGGGAGCATACCTTCTTTCTCCTGTGTGTCCTGGAGGAAACAAACGGGCCAACAAAATTAAACACTAAGAAGCAACTGCTTCTAATATCTGATAACTTTTATACTATTACCTTTTCCTGGAGGTCTACCCATTAGTAAACATGCTATTTCCACTCTGTTCTTAAATAAAGCTAGACCTCTGTTCAGATCCCTAAAGCTCAAGATGACTGTATTGTGAGAAGAAAAGATAAGTTGCTTCTCACACGAAACCCAGGGAACCACCCCAGTGACCTGTGAGTGACCTATACCTAAACCTAAACACAATACTTCACTCAAAGAGCAAGCAATATCTCACTCAGAACAGAAGCTAGGAAAGACAGAGAAAAGAGCTAGCAGGGCTTCTGGTGATACAAAATTAGTATCAAAGTTCCCTAGCTGTCCCTAAAACACAGTACAGGTCAAATGGGAAATCAAGGGGGATAACTGCTGAGATGTTCCCTCCTAAGCTAGTCAGCAAATAAGTCTCTCTACGGAGGAGGCTAGCTATGTAGCCATCTCCAGACATCTCCACCTTAGTAATGGGACAGCATTGCTTCCATAAACACTGTAGTAGGAAGGTGACAGGTAAACAGAGATTAAAATGACACTTTTTAACCTCAAGAAAATTAAGGTACAGTAGGTTCACTAGTATTTACCTACCAGCTTTGCCAAAAAATCAACACCTTCCCTAGTGACAGAAGTTTGGGGAACATGCCAAGAGCTCAATTAGCTTGCGGGGGCTCTTACTGTTGCTGTTACTCTCTGCTTGCTTTTTGTAGGCCCTGCTGCCCTTTTCTTTACTGACTTTTTAAAAAAGGACATGAAGCCAATTTGTGGCTCTTTTTAGTGGAATTACATTCCCTTCCCTTGAAAACCTCGCAGAGACACAACACCAGGTGTATTTCATGAACCCGAATCCAGTACTAAATGTTATACGTCAAATACAAACCCCCAAAGAGGGTGGCGTGTTTTCATCACAGAACTGCGGGTTAACTAAGTCCCACTACCTTGGAAGTCGGGGGGGAATATGGTGGCGTCTTTCTTGTCACGACTCTGTCGGCGTCTTTTCTAGGTTTAACCTCCATTATTCTGTTTGGAACTCTAGTCCTCTTCAATTTTGTAAGGTCCTATTTGAAGGTGGGCAACAGGCCATCTCCAGCGGTCAAAACAGGTCTCTTTGAGAAAGTTGCCGCCTTAAACTAGCCATGATAATAATTACTCTTCTCCCTTCCCCCAGTGCTGGTCCTTTTTAAACGTCTTTACCTCGACTTGTATCTTTCTGGGGATTTAGAACGCAAGCCCCAGCCTAGTGGTTGGGTCATTTTACCCCTACTAACCAATAACACACATCTCATCCCGGGACCACCAACCCCTTTCATTCACCCAGTCTTTCTAAACACCCGCCCCGCGCCCAGGCTCGGCCAATTATAGCACAACTTCAATGAGTTGAGCGGTAGGTCTACTGGCCAATCAAGAAGAGAACCGTATTGATTGACAATCCACCCAGCTAACCAGCGCCAAAGCAGCAGTCCGTACTGAAGCTCACCCTGCATGACGCAAGAAGTGGCCAACCCCTGCAGAGCCCGAGACCATGGCGACCAATCCGCACTGGTGGGAGACCGTCTCCCGCCCCATCACGGTCGCCCCCAGCTCGCCCACCGCACCCCCTCCATTTCACCTGCTTCTCCTCGCCAGTCTCCTCCGCAGGGTTCTCCTCCTCTTGTTTCTGGGACATGGCGGGACCGGGACTGTGGAGTGTAGGGGACCCAGGAAGTCACCCGGAGAAGGGAAGGGGGAGGGGAAACGGGACAACCTGCGCTGCTGCTTCGGCTCCTGTCACTAGGGTTGCTCAGTCAAAATGGCGGCTCTTGCCTGTGACGTTGAGGCCGCCCCTTCCTATGGGAGCCAATGGGAGCGGGGTAGATAGGGCAATGACGTAACGACCTACCAATAGTTGCTGGCTAAATGTGGGGTCTATGGAGGCGACGGGCAAGCTGGAAGGCCAACCTGGAAAGAGAGTGACCCACAAGGGCCAATTGGAAGCCCTTGGGGGATGTGAGGGGGTGGTGCTGGTAGCTCTGGCATTTTTGCTCCTTTGATGGGGTCAGACTTCCTTCGGCTCCACCGCCCTGCGCCCAGGAGGCTTTGCTGAGCTTCAAATTGGAGAGCGAAATGATGGAAACCTTTTATTTCCAGGTGAAGAGGATTACGCTTTGCGCAGTGTTAGCAGAAAATGATCAATCACCAGAAAATAATTAAGAGGTCAGACACACTATTCCAATGTGTCACTTGGGGTGTGGAATGGAGAGACTGAGTCATCTTGCGGAACACAAATGGCTTACGTTTCATGATTTAACTCATGTACAGTTTTTTACTTGTTCACAGTCATCCCATGGAGACTTGAGCTCCTTGAAACAGTACAGGTCTAGGTACCTGGTAAACTTTAGTAAATACTTGCTAACGTATCCTGAGTCACAGTTCAACAATATTTTTTGAGCGTCTATTTGAAGACGGTACTGTTTTAGTTTTACAGGGGTTACATATGTAGTAAGGCAGTCTCTGCCATAGAAAGTTTAGTGGGCTTGTAAAGTTTAGTGGGCTTGTGGGGAGGGTTTTCACAGTGTGCCAGGTGTACCTTAAATCCTCAAGGTTAAATAGACACGTCTTCCTAGAGTGTTAGTCAAAAAGCACTACATTTTTATATTAAAAGTCTAATACTTTTAATATAAAATAACACTGAAAAATTCATATTAAATTTTAATTTTCCAGGCAGCCTGTTGTGACAGATAGCCTTGGGGCTGTTCATTTTCCTGTATAATTAGGTACACTTCTAATGGAAAAGTTTGAGAAGCATAGAATACACAGATTATTATCATACAAGGCAAAATCTGGTCAGCATTGAAGTAAAACTATTAATAAAATGGTATAGGGGTTCAAAGGAAGGTTCATATTCAGTTTAGGGTCCCCCCACAAAAATAGACTTTGTGATGGAGGTGGGTATTTGAAATCAGCTTTAAAGAATTTAGGAGTTTGCCAGGTAAAGGTGAAGGAAGGGTATTCTAGGTGATGGGGTCAGCATGAAGGCTAGAAAAATAGAACTGAGTCCAGAACATGGAGGACTCTGAATGCCAGGATAAGGAACTAGTGAATAATTTAGTTATCCAGGGGAGACATTTAAGGGTTTTAGGCCAGACAGTGGCAGATCAGAACTGTTCATTAAGAAGATTAATCTAGTGGTAATGAATAAAAATCATTCAGAATTCCAACCAGAAAGATAGTGGGGGTGGACAGTCTAGCCAGGAGTCCACTCCAATACTCTGGGTAGGAGATAATTAGGATTTAAACTAGAAACGTGATAGTTTAGAATGGAAAACAGTGAACCTAATAGAGTCTGTGGCAATGTAATCTACTAGATTAGCAGCTGATTGAATATAGGGAATGAGGAGACCATGTGCCTCAAGGTGACTCTTTGTAGAAACAAATTCAAGAAGAGGAGTTGATTTGGAAATGGAATTGGAAGCAGAGAGAAAATGAGGTGCTCAGTTTTGAAATCATTGACTTTAAAAGCCAGTGAGCCATTTGGTGGAGATATCCAGGCAATGAAGACTTAGGTTAAATGACCTCTGAGATCTCCATAGCTGAAATTTTAGCGTTCTAGGAAATATAGATCTGGAGTTTGGAATAAAAGTAGTAGCCAAATATGAATGAAATTTGGACTTCTTCACATAACTATAAATAAAGTTGTGGAATTAGATGGGATCAACAAAGGAGAAAGTAGGAAAAAAAAGAAGTCCCAAGACAGAAACCTGGGGAAAAGTTGGCAAGGGACACAGAGACAAATGATCAGAGTAGTAAGAAGAAAGAAGTAACAGAGAAGTTAAAGTTGAAGGGGGCAAAAGCTAATTGCAAGTGGTTAAAGAGTGAAGAGGTGGTAGCAATATTTAACAATAAAGCAAAGAAAGGAATGAGGACAATGAACAGAAGAGGAAGCAGCAGAGGACTTTCTTTTTTTGGAGAGTAGGAAAGATTTAAGCAAGTTTTAAAAAAGGGGAAGGGCTAATTGAGAGAAAAACTAAAACATAATTAACTACTTTAAAGAGGAGATAAATAATTAAAGTCTCATAGAAAACAAACTTATGGTTACCAAAAAGGAAAGAGGGGGGAGGGATAAATTAGGAGTTTGGGACTAACAATATACACACTACTATGTACAAAATAGATAACCAACAAGGACCTACTGTATAGCACAGGGAACTATACTTAATAGTTCGTAATAACCTATAAGGGAAAAGAATCTGAAAAAGAATACACACACACACACACACACACACACACACACACACACATGCATAACTGAATCACTCTGCTGTATACCTGAAACTAACACAACATGGTAAATCAACTATACTTCAATTAAAAAAAAAAGTTAAAGTCTCAGGAGATCATTAGATCAGGAGAGAGAGGGAGACAGGTTGGCTTTGGCCACTGAAAAGGAAGAATGGGAAGGGAAATGTACAGAGAGATTTTGAGGTGGCTAAACATTTAGAGAAGTCATATTGAATGGACTTGCTTTTCTGAGGTTAGTCTTTTGAGAATAAAAAGGATGATGGGTGGGATAGAGGATCTAGGAAAAATGGGGTAGAAACTGTGCTATAGAAAATGACAATGATGCAAAACAGCAAGAAAGATCTACCTGAGATTAGATAAGAGTGAATGTGTAGTAGTCCTAATCAGCATGGCTTTGTGACTTTGGTCAGTAACTCCTGGCTGCCTTGGGATGGAGAAAACAAACAGCCTGAGTTAATTAACCAGGATGAAGGACTGGTTAAGAAGGAACAGTGGAGGGAGGACAATGAGGAAGTCTAGAATGGTTTGCCAGTTTGTTGAAATAGCTGACTGTGGCATCTAGGCTCTTTAGGAAAGACAGAATGAGACTGATGAACTGGGAGGAGTGGAAAAGAGTTGAAGAACTGGTTATGAGGCAGATGAAGCTCAGATTTGGTGGGAATGAGTGAGAGGCAGATGAATAGGAAGTTGCAGCGAGAGGGAAATTTCAGTTTGTATCTGGGAAGGTGGAGACATTAGGTTATGGTGAGCTCTAGCCTATAATAATTATAATTGGTGCCAGATATGGCTATAGTAGTCACTGTTGATACAATCAAGCAAATGTGAAGTACAAAATTTGAAGTTCCAGAGCATGATAGGGAAGGTGGTTAGGACAGGGTGTCTGCGACCCATATGTTGGAATGAGCTATAGGTCACCAATACGTGTATTTAAGTATATAAGGTACCACATTGTGTGGAAGTAACTATAATATTAGGTAATGTATGACACTTACCAAATGAGTTGTATTTCTAAGTGTCTCAAAGATCATTTCTGGCTGAGCTGGTCAAGGAATGTTTTAGATGTTAGAGAACCTAAACTGGGACTATGAGGATGAATAGGAAAATTGGAGATTAGCAGGAGCGGGGAGGAAAGGAAGACAATTTAGAGGACCACCCTATCTTATAAAAGTTTAGAGGGTGACTGACTCCTGACTGAGGAGAAAGTATCTATAGCAAGAGTTTCTAGAGGGAGTGAGATCCTGCTAGCCCAGCAAGACTCCTCTTTCATCCAACAAATTTCATTGAGCACTCATTACGTGTTATGTATTGTGCTGGGCATGTTACCAAACAAAACTTGGGTCTGCTGTGCTTGGGATGCACAGCAAAGCCAATATACTGACACTGGGTTGTGATGAAGAAAAGTACAGTGTTTATTGCAGGGCACCACACAGAAGAATGGGTAGTTAGTGTTCAAAGGACCCAAACCTCCCTAGCCCCCATGGCTTTCAGAGAAGAGTTTTAATGCCAGTGTGAGGGAGAGGGTCATAGGTTGTGTGATCAGCTCCTACACAATTCTCTAATTGGTGATGGTGAGGTAACATGGTGATGTTTTGTGAATCTCAGTCATCAACCTTCTGGTTCCAACTGGTCTGGGGTCTGTGTGCTGGTGGTCAGCATGCAGTTAACTTTCTCTGCCTGGTGGGGATTTTAGTATCTGAAAAAGAACTCAAGGATATGGCTCAGGATATTATCTATAGCCCTTGAGAAGGAACTAAAGGTCCTTGACTTTATGGCTAAACTATTATTTTGTCTTGCTTGACTGATTTCCTTTGTTTCTGCATTTCTCACTTTTCTTGATTAAATTTGCTCTTTGGAACTTGGAGAAGGCCTAGGAGGCTAAAGCTTTCCTATAAACAAGAGGTGAGGGACACAGTGGGATCTGTCCCTGAGAAGGCCCTGCAAGTTCCTGCTCGATTTCAGGCACCATGGATGGATGCAAAGATAAAGGTCAGTCCCTGCCTTCAAGCTGTTCACAGATGAGTAAGAAGATAAGAGATGAAGACAGTTTACACGGGCGAAGACTATTAAAAGCAGCTTCTTGGAGGAGATGACATTTAAGGAAGTATAGGAATACTCAAGGTTAGAAAAAAAGGGAGTGTGGAGAAGACCTTTTCAAGCAGAAGGAGCCTCATGTGAAAAGACATAGAGCCATAAGTAACTCCATGTTCTGGATCCTTGGTTCTCAGACTCGGTTGATTAGAAGTTCCCAGGGAACTTTATACAGATTTCCTCAGCCCTCTTTCACCCCAGTTGAATCAGCATCTCTGGGCTGGGGCCTGGAAATCTATACTTTTAAAAAGCTCCCTAAGGAGAGACTGCAAATAAGGCTGATTTGGAACCCCTGTGGAGCAGCAAGACATGACACTGTTCAGGTTGTTGGGGTCCTGGGGAGACTTGTAAGTCATGCTAAAGTGTTGGGGTTTCATGAAGCCAAAGGGGGAACCTCTGATTTCAAGCTGGGAAATGGTATTGTTAGACTTGGGATTTGGAAAGATAT